CTCTTTGTCCTCTGTCCTGGATGGAAGCACAGCCCCGGGCACCTCAGCATGTGAGTTAGCTAATCCAGTCTCCCTGAGAAGACACCGTGTGCTCTGTGTCTCTCACGGCTCCTATCAACCCACAGATGATGATGATGATGGTGATGGTGATAAATAGAAAGTACGGTGGTCCATTTTCAGAATACAGTATTTAGCTTAAATGTAAAGTGACTTAAGATCTAGGAAAGGCAGCTGGAGGGGCAGCAGAATGGAAAGTTACAAGCAGTTCACACCCGAGTGTAAGATTCACAGCCCCTTGATAAACAGGAGGTGAGAAGGGAGGGGCTGGCCTGACCAAAGGAGATGAACTGTAGGGGACTTTCCCTGCCAAGAGAGAACAAAGGGAGGTGGGGACAACTTAAGGTATGTATTTTTAAGTAACCTAATAGGAGACCTCAAGACCTTGGTGACATTGAATACTATGCATCCCAGAGTACTCAGCCAATGAGTAACTGGGGGAGGAACCTTGCACTGTAGAGGATAAAACACTGGTTGTACCCAATCTGGGGGGCCTGACCAAAAGGCACCAAATCTTGCAAGACCGTCATTAAAGTAAGGCCTTGCTTTCTGCTGTTCCTTGTGTCTCTCAGACTATTCTTTGGGCTTGGACAGGTGAGCATGTTTCTCACAGTGATGACATCTTTGCCAAAATGGTAGCAATTTTTTTATTGACGGTCAAAGCACATGCTGAGCCCCAACTATGAGTAGCTGAGGTGGAGAGAGGTTACATGGATTTTTTTTTAAGAGAGAGAGAGAGAGAATTTTTTTTTTAATATTTATTTTTTAGTTCTTGGCGGACACAACATCTTTGTTTGTATGTGGTGCTGAGGATCGAACCCGGGCCGCACGCATGCCAAGCAAGCGCGCTACCACTTGAGCCATATCCCCAGCCCAACATGGATTTTTTAAACATCTCTGTACTTGGTTGAATGAATCGCCCCACCCCAATTTATGTCCACCTGGAACCTGAGAAGGTGACTTTATTTGAAAATCAGGACTTTACAGATTTAAGTAAAATGAAGCCATGTTGGATTGATGGGCTATGAATTCAATGGCTGGTGTTCTTAAAAGAGAGAAACTCGGATACAGAGAGAAGATACACACAGAGGAGAAGGCTACATAAAGAGAGAAGCAGAGAGTGCGGAGATGCTGTCACAAGCTATTGAACACCAGGGATCAATGTTGGCTACCAGAAGCTAGAAAAGAAAAATGGAACAGATCCTTTCCTCTGAGAGCCCAAAAGGAACCAGCTTTAGTGACCTCTTGATTTCATATGCCTCCAGAATGGTGAAGACAACTTGCTGTTGTTTTAAGCCATTTGATTTATGGTTACTTGTTACAGCAGCCTAAGCAAACTAATACAGTCACACAGGAGTACCGGAGGTTCTTAGTTCTAACCGTTAGTAGGTGCTCACTGGGTTGGATAGCTGCTTAACCCAGGCTGTAACTCAGCTCCTTTGCCGGAGAGATCTGGTATCAGTCACTGGGAGAGTCCAATGTAATAACACTTGCCATGACGTAATCTTTGGCACTCAGCATACTCTGATGTTTGTGTTGAAATTCGAGTGATTGAATATGCACAGAACACTTCTGGAAGCGGCTGCAAGGAAATTAGTGAAGCAGGCAGTGTCCGGAAATGGGAGCTGGTGGCTGGGGTCAGGTGGGCAAGGACTTTACTTCCAGGCTATACTTCCTGGCTCTGTTGAGCTGGGCACCCCATTCACACAATGGGGTACCCACTAATAAAAATCAAAAACGCTAAGTTATAAAGAGCTACGTGGACGTTATTGTCTGTCTCACCTTCCTCTTCCTCTATTTCTCTCTGTTGCTGCAGTCCCTGGTGTAGTGGTGTTGGGAGGACCATAGGTCAGGGGGCTGGGGATGAAAGGAAAACATCTCAGATCTCGTGTTCTCCAGCTCTTTTTTTTTTTTTCACATAAAAATTTACTTTATTTTGCAACATTAAAAAAAGAAACATACAGTTGGATATCATCAAAGCAGGGTACGGACTAGCTTTTCTATTAGGATTTCTTGCAAACATTAGGAAAAAGTGTTGACATTTAAAACCCTGATATAAGAGGTAATGTGCTCAGCAAGTTCCAGAACTCTCTGCCACTTCTTACTGATACCTTTGTTTTGTGTGAAAGGTGATGCAAGATCCCTCCACACCCCACATAGTCAGAACCTCCCATCATTTGACAAATAGCTCATCGGAGGTCGTTCTGTGGACTGCCCCGGGGCAGGGCCTGTTCACAGCAGATGCTCAGTGATAATGCACTGAGGCGAGTAGCTGGGCTCTGCCTGCACTGTTTTTAAAGTCATATTTTATTTTTAATCACCACTACAATTATATATATTTATGGAATACAGTGTAAGGTTTCAATATATGTATACAACATGTAATGATCAAATCAGGGTATTTAGCACTTCCGTCACCTCAAACATTTATCATCTTTTTGTGGTGAGAACATTGAGTACCACATCCCATCTTCCAGCTGTTTTGAAATGTACGCTACAATATCGCTGACTACATCCTCTCTGGGTTTGTTCGTTTCTTTTTTATTTTTATTTACACATGACAGCAGAGCGTATTTTGACATATCATACATACATGGAGTGTAACTTCCCGTTCTTGTGGTTGTACATGATGTGGAGTTTCACTGGTTGTGCATTCATATATGAACACAGGAAAGTTCTGTCCCATTCATTCTATTGTCTTTCCTATTCCCATCCCTCTCCCTTCCCTTTATTCCCCCTTGTCTAATCCATTGAACTTCTATTTTCCCACCCCAAATCGTGTGTTAGCATCCACATATCAGAGAGAACACCTGGCCTTTGGTTTTTTGGGATTGGCTTATTTCACTTAGCAGGATAGTCTCCATTCCATCCATTCACCAGCAAATGCCATCATTTCATCTTCTTTATGGCTGAGTACTATTTTGCTGTGTGTACATATCACATTTTCTTTATCCATTCATCTATTGAAGCTACTCGGATTCTTATTTGGGTGCAGGTTCCTCCCTTCACCCAGCCACCTTCCCTGGGTGGCTCTGTAGCCCGTGAGGAAATGTGAGGACAGGACAGAGGAGGACATGCACACGGCCCAGGAGGGATTCCGCCTCTCCCCACCCCACTCCTGTCCCTCCCAAGCCAATGCTGTACGTGTGAGATATCAAGCCAGGCAATCGAATCAGGAATGGCTTGTGACCATTGGGGCCTAAAATGCAGGGGGCAGCACACTGAGGAACAGACAAGAGGGGTCCGATCTGTTTCCAGGGAGTAACATGGAGCTGCGCTGCCCCCGTCTCCCCGTCTGTTTCTTGCTTAGCCTTTCGGCAGGAAAATTGTGAAGACCTCCCGCTCCAACCTGCGGCATGCGTGGCCGTGCGGCGGACGGAGTCGCCCGCAGGGATGTGGGGTGCTCTTCTCTAAGGAGGCAGGTGCTCTGGGAAGAGGTTAGCAAGACCCATCAGGAGGGTGCCACTACTGCCAGGGGCTGCTGCGGGGACTGTCCTGGCGGGGTCTCCCATGCCCTGGCATCTGGATGCACCTGAGCCCAACCTCACCTGGGCCCACAGAATGATGCTTCTCTGTTCTTGTCCTCGTCCTTAGCTACACATTTCCCCCCCAATATACCCATTGGAATCAAAAGAAAAATTTAACAGGAAAGAAACCGAATCTTCGCCTCACTGCGAAGCCCACAGGAGTCAGAAAGGTTTGAAAGTCCCAGTTAGAGGGCAGAAAAAAACAATCAGTGTGACGGGCAGGCCCCAAGGAAACACTCTTCATGTACTGACAGTCACATCACAGAAAGAGGCAATCTGTTAGAAATACTAGACCGGTATTTGTGCGGATTAGGACAAAGGCTGCAGTTACAAACACGGACACGCACATTCCTGGGGTTCGGAGCTGGAGGGTGAATCTGTTCATTGAGGGCCAGGCGTCCCCAGGGCCGCCATGCCCAGGACTGTGGGCTAGATGGAGCCTCCTCTTGAGTCTGTTGTACTTGGGACACTTGTCTGCTGAGATAGGAGAGGAAGGGCAGGGAGGAGAGAAGGTGCTGTTCTGCCTGGTTACTCCAGCATCCAGGTTCGCTGTTCCCAAAGAGCCACGTGGCTTTCCTGCCCCCGTGTAATGGCTGCTAATAAGAGTATTTGTTTAGTACTAACATAAGCAGTGCTTAATACACGAAAAACCACATCGGATCTGCCGAGCCAGCCTGGAGCTAGTTGCAGTTGAAATCTTTTTCATTTCCCCGAGGCTTACAGAGGCGGAGCAGCAGTTCATCATGACAAGTATCAGGACCCCGTTAGCTTGGAGTCAGTAGGCCACGCTGGTTGACCAGTTCACTGGGCTCTTTGTTACAGAAAGAGCAAAACTCATTCATTCATTCCAGAAACATTAACTGAGACTCTTCTGAGAGCTGGGGGCTGAGCCCGTGCAGGGTGGGGGCCATGGCAGGAGGTGGACATTGAGGTGAAGAATACTTCCAGAGCCCAGAGTCTGCTGGGGAAGGCAGACGCAGATGGTGATAAAATATTGGGGAGTTCACGGAGAGCACTGAGGGCCCAGAGGTTCTCCTGAGTCCCTGGGGGTCATGGTGTCAGGAAAGGAGCCCCAAAGGAGGTGGCTCTCAGGGGATGACAGGATCAGCAGTGGGCAACACACAAAGGGTAGGTGTGCATGGCAGGTGAGGAGAGTGTGCCACGTGAGGTGTGTGTGTGAGAGGTGGGGATCTGTGTGTGTGGCATGTGTGTATGTACGTGTGTTTATGTGTGTCTCCGAGGTGTGTTTGATGGGGTGTGTGCATTTGTGCAAGTGTGCATATTTGTGTGGCAGTGCAGGAAGTGGGCAAGCAGACGCATTGAGCCAGTGTCTGGCGTGGGGGGGCGGGGAGGGTGGGAGGTGAGGGGGAGGAAGCAAGCAGCGGAGAGGGTGGAGAAGCGGATCCCACTGTGTTGCAGACTCCGTGTGAAGCCACCTCCATCCATCCGGGAGGTATTTCTCCTCTCTGACAATGAGAGCCCTGAGCCCCTGGGGAGGAAGGAAGAAGATGAGTCCAGGCCTGCAAAGCTGAGCCAAATATGGTAAAGAGGACTTGGGGACATCTGGCTTTGGGAGACCCAGACTTCTCCAGGGCCAGTTAGGGAGAGCATGCTGGGCCTGTTCTGGCAGCAGGAGCTGCTAGAAGTCCTGGAGGGTAAGTAGCTGGTGACCTTGGTGGCCTTGGTAGCCAGCTGTCCAGAGTTCAGGTACCGTCACCCCCACCTTTGGGCAGGCTATTTTCCCCTCCCTTCCTTCCTTCCTTCCTTCCTTCCTTCCTTCCTTCCTTCCTTCCTTCCTTCCTTCCTTCCTTCCTTCCTTCCTTCCTTCCTTTACTCAGGGGCATTCAACCACTGAGCCACCTCCCCAGCCCTCTTTTGTATTGTATTTAGAGACAGGGTCTCACTGAGTTGCTTAGTGCCTCACTTGTTGCTGAGGCTGGCTTTGAACTTGCCATCCTCCTGTCTCAGCCTCCAGAGCCGCTGGGAATTCAGGTGTGTGCCACCGCGCCCTGCAGTTGTTTCCTTGTTTCTGAGCCTCACTGTCCTCCTCTGTAAAGAGAAGGTGAGGGCAGGCTGCTATGGTTGGAACATGTTCCCCAGAGTTCATGTGGTGGGAATTAATCCCCGTTTAACAGTGCTGACAGGTGGGTCTCTCCTGAGGTGGCCAGGCCCTGAGAACTCCCTCAGGAATGGACCGAAGGCTTCACCGTGTGATGGTCTCCTTATTGCAGAAGTAAAAGGCCCTCATAGAGGCTGGTTCAGCCCTACCCACTCTTGCATGGGATGTCTTCCACCATGTTGTGCTGCAGCAAGAGGACCCTCACCGGACGTGGCCCCTTGATCTTGGACTTCCCAGCCTGCGGAGTGCTGAGCCAAATAAATGTCTATTGCTTAGAAATTACTCTGTCTATAATCGTATGTTAGAGCCACAGAAAACAGATTGAGACCCAGACCTTGCGGGCACATTGGGAGCATAACACGGTTAACAGTCCACATGCTCGTGGGAGCTCTCTCCTCTGTTCTCGTTAGTCACTTACATCAGGGCCATCAGAGGGTGACCTTTTCTAACGTAATAAAATGGAGCTAGACCAACATGGAGGAAATCTGGCCCTGGGCAAAGGAACACAGTCTGTGAATTAATTGTTGCTTAAAGAAGCACCTAAATGTCTTAGTTTGAGTTTTCTGTTTGTGTTTAGAATTTAATTCCGGAGACTCAATCTCAACCCTAGCAGCACCCTAGGGTGTCTCCAGCAATTTCAACGGGTGTTACAGTGTTCTCAAAAGAAACGATTTTTAATTAATTTCAACTTAAATATATGCAGATGTTTCTAGAGCCGGGTGGCTCTATATTATAATCCATTTTAAAAAGCAGTCAAGATCCAGTGTGTCCCCTCCCCCAAGTTCCCCCCCCCAAAAAAATGTTAAATGATTTAGGACTCATTATTCTGTGGTTTGAAAGTAATGAGATTTGAGATGTTTTATGCAGAACATAAACGGAAATTCCACTCACGGGCTGGGAGATAAGTAAGATTTCTCTAAGAAAAATAACCCTTCTTCCTACCATTTCTCTGATTAGTTACTTTGAAGGAAGACAGGGAGATCTGCTTTCAGGGAGAAGAGGTTGAAACTGGAAAATATTGGGAGAATTTTTGGTGTTTTTAAAAAGGCCAATTTGAAAATGAAAGCAATTTATTCCCAGAGAAAGAATAGTTTGGAGAATCTTCTATGAATGGTAGCTCGCACTCTATAATTGTAAAGGTCATGCTCATTTTAGAAGAGCCACCTTGCTTTAAGAGAGGATGTACATGACAATTAATTTAACAGGGAATCAAACTGAGGTGTGGGAAGCAGGTTGGCATTTCAGCCTTCTCAGGTAATCCCCTGCCTGGGATCAAATCATAAATTAGGCCAAGAATATCAAGAGGCTCTATGAGTTCTCAATTGCAACAAATTTTATCCCAGTCTTTTTTTTTGTGTGTGTGTGTGTGGCTCCGGGAATTGAACTCAGGAGCACTTAAGCCCTGAGCTAATCCCCAGCCCCTTTTTTAAAATATTTTATTTAGAGACAGGGTCTCACTGAGTTGCCGAGGGCCTCGCTAAATTGCTGAGGCTGGCTTTGAACTCACCATCTTCCTGCCTCAGCCTCCCGAGCTGTTGGGATTACAGGCATGTGCCGCAGTGCCCAGCACATGGTCCCAATGTTTAGCAGCCTCAGGAAACAAACATTTGTTATTTTGTGCAATTTCCGAAGGTCAGGGACCTGGAAGGGGTGTGGCTACATGGTTCTGGCTCAGCCTGTGTCATGAGGTTGAGGTCAAGATGCTGATCTGGCCAGAGCTGGAGCCATGGGAAGGCGTGCCTGGGCTGAAGGTCTATTCTTTAAAGAATGAAAACAAAAAAGAATGCTTTGGGGTTCAAGTGGCTGTTCCTAGAGACCTCCTTCTGGGGTTTGGGGGTGTTCTGTCTCCTAAGTGCTCATGGTCTGGAAGCTTGGTCTCCCAGGCAGTAGTATTGTGAGGTGGTGGGTTCTGAGAGGTGGAGTCTGGTGGGAGGTGCCCAGGCCATGGGACACGACTCCCAAGAATGGATTAATGCTGCTTTCAGGAGCCACCAGGTCTCTTCCTGTGAGAATGGTTGTTACAGAGCGAATCCTGCTTTCTCTGCTCACACTTTTACTGACGCTATTTTGCACATGTGCTCCTTCTATGTGCACCCACGTGTCCACCATGTTGTGATATAGCCAAGGGGCTGACACTGGCAACATGCTGTTTGGACTTCATAGCTACCAAAATTGTGAACCTCTTTTCTTTATAACCTATCAAGCCTCAGGTATTTTGTGTTGTTATAACAACACAGAATGGTATGTTCTATGTCAGTCCTTCCCCAGCTCCCTGGCTGCTCCTCTTTACCAAATAGCCCCATTCATAGAGCTGCCATGACAGCGCAAGTGACCTGAGAGGAAGTGACTGAGAACAAGTGACCCAAGAGACAGTTGCTGAGAAAGAAGCCACAATGTATCTCATAAACTAACCTTGGACCCCCATTGCATGCCTGGATCCCCATTTACTTGGGAGGCTGAGGCAGGAGGATCCCTTGAGTCCAGGAGTTCAAGGCCTGTCTGGACACCATACTGAGACCCCATTTCTAAAAAAGTAAATTTAAAAAGGTGTCTTACACCTGTGTGATCATAAGCAAGTTACCTAAACTCTGGTATCTCTGCTTTCTTGTTATAAGATAGAAATTCTTTTACCTCTGAGTTTGCACACACAATGTAAGGGTCCAGCGAACGAAGAGACCACCAAGACACCGGCTCATGCAACCGCAAAAGGGGTTTATTGAAGAATCCAGCGCGCTGGGGCTCCGTGCTCACTCAACAAGGGAGAGCGGCCCAGAGCCCCGAGTAGGGGTTGAGCAGTGCTTAAGTACACTTTTTGGGGAGGGCGGGGACTTTACATACATCACAGTCTCCTTTAACAAATCATCATACACCGCAGGAAAATCAAACAACAATTCTTAAACATGATTAGCACATTCATTGGTGGGAACAGGTCAGGCGGGGGTGATAGGTCACTCCTAAAGAGGGGGGTACATTCAAACTGATTGGTTTAGGCCCTGAGATGCCTACGTGCCAAGCTTCACAGGGTCCTAGGTTATTAAACAACTAGATGGTCAGGGGGAATATTTACTGGGCAGTCCCGGGAATTGTCCTAACAGCTACAGGAATTTCAGGTTTTGGGGGTGTAGCATAGGAACTTAACAACACCTGGTCCTTTACATTTTAACTCAGGCTTTGCAGCTTAGAAACTTTATGATACCCGGTCTTTTACACTTTAACTTCAATTTCTTTTACTCTTACAACAAGGCACCTAGCGCAGTGCCCTGGCATCACGAGTGCCCCCCGTCAGCTCCTGTTATCAGTGTCTATGCCAATGGCCTCTGTTGGTCCTTCCCCAGCTCCCTGCCTGCCCTTGCCTTTGTCCCTGCTTCTCCTATGCTAAGGCTTTACTCTCTTTAACATGTGTTACCTTCACTGATGGACAGCAGAGATTAAGCACTACCTGAACCTTCACGCTATCTGGACATAATGTCCTGAGTCTAAGGGTGAAGCTTCCAGCCATGCGTAAGAAGGACTTTGGAAAAGTGGTAGAGCCTGACCCTGGAACTTCCTCTTTGAAAGCAAGATACCTGTGTCTAGAGGTTTACGATGATTCCAGTTCTAGAACAAATTATGAAATCTGTGCTTAAAAGACATTTGAAAGCATCTCAGAAAAAAAAAAACTCACAAATCTGAAGTCACTGTATATACTAAACTCGAATTGTGTGTGTGTGTGTGTGCACATATTTGGTGTATCATTTATATTTCTTTTTAAAATAAAAATTAATAACTATTATGCATCCAAGGACAGTGAGAAGAGAACCTATAATATGGAAGAAAACACTTGCACATCGTGGTTCTGATAGGAGTTAATGCCTAGAACTTATAAAGAACTCCCACAGCTCAACAACAAAATGAACCTGACTTAAAAAGCAGGAAGCAGGCAAAGGCTATAAATAGAACTTTCTCCAAAGGAGATACACATATGGTCAGAAAGCACGGGAAAAGATGTTTAATATCACCGAGCATCAGGGAAATCCAAGTCAAAACCGCAGTGAAATGCCACCTCTCAGCCATTAGGTTGGCAACTATAAAAAACACACCAAAACAACAAACCCCCCAAATTCACAGAAAATAGCAAGTGTGGCAAAGAGGTGCAGAAAGTGGGACCCTCAAGTGCCTAGAAATATTAAAAATAGAATTCCCACGTAAGCCAGCAATTCTGCCTCTGGGTATGTGCCCCGCAGAGTTAAAAGCAGAGTGTTGAAGAGATATTTGTATGTCATTCACACAGGTAGAAGCAACCCTAGTCTGCCAGGTATAAACAACATGTAGTGAACATGTTGGAATATTATTCATTCTTAAGGTTTTTTTTTTTTTTTAATTTCTTTGGTACCAAGGATTAAACCCAGAGGTGCTTAACCACTGAGCCATATCCCCAGCCCATTTTATTTTTTTTATTTAGAAACAAGGTCTTGCTAAGTTTGCTTAGGGCCTTGCTAAGTTGCAGAGGCTGGCTTAGAACTTTCAATCCTCCTGCCTCAGCCTCCAGAGCCACTAGAAATACAGGAGTGTACCACTGTGACCATGTTATTCATTCTTAGAAAGAAAGGTAATTCTGACATTTGTTACAAAATGGGTATACCCTGAGGATATTACCTTAAGCGGAGGAAGCTAGTCATGAAGGACCAGGGTTCTGGGTTTCCACTTATTTGAGATCCCTGGAGTCATTCAAAATCAGAGGCAGAGAACAGAATGGCTGCTGCCAGGGGCCAGGGGTGGGGGTGGGGGAGAAGAAGCTGTTTCATGCAACAGAGTTTAAGTTTTGCTAGAAGAAAAGAGCCCTGGAGGTGGGTTGCGCAACAGTGTGGATGGACTTGATATGCTTCAACTGGGCACTTGAAAAGGTTTAAGATGGAAATTGTTATGGGTCCTTCACCACAACAAAAGTGACCTTAAAGAAAAAAGAATCCATTACTCAAGTTAGGTAGACCGCCTGAAATTGAGATTAATGCCCATTTTCAAGCGTATATAGTCTGTTATATACACATGTATGTGTGTTTATATGTGTGTGTGTGAATACTGATTTCATATAAAAGACTATTTTCTAAATTATTAATGGCCATCAAAGCAGGAATTTTAAAGTAATTATGGCTGAAAGAGAAATGTGAGGACTTCAGAAATATTATTTTGGTCAAAGGTAGGGAATCATTTTACTGTGGGACCCCAGATCCCCATAAAGGAAAATTGAAATAGGTAAGCACAATGCAGAAATAAAATCAACCTACTTTTCTTAGGAGAACTCT